TCTGGAAGGTTTTCGATTTGGTTGACCTAAGGCTAAGGTGGCCTGTTAAGCCAATGTCCTAGTCGCTACAGCGATTACGGATACCTCTCAGGCATCTCTACTCTGCTCTGTGAGTCCCGCAAAACGCTTTCTTTATGTTATGTTTTGTGAGTTGACTCCTTATGCTAGAGCCAACCTGGCCTACCGGTCTTTTAAACCGATAGTTCCTTTTGGTTTGACACCTGAGGGTGCCTTCCTTTGGGGTCCATACATAAAGGACCTCATCAGGGTGTTGATAAAACTAGCTAAACTGGTTTCAGTGAGGTCAATCAAATGGAGAGGTACGAAGAGGACTTTTCGGTCCTCTCCTTACAGTCAAGTTACTACGTTCCTTGCCTTTTGAACTTAATTCATGGTACCGAAAGGTAACATAAGGAAGTAAAAGACCCTCATTCTTAGGTGTACTGTGGTACCCAAGAGTTAGGTATTGTTTCGACGAAAACAACGAGTTGTTTAGTCGAATGGATATGGCCTCATTTGAAAAGGAGGTCATTCCCAACGATCCCAGAGGTAACTCCTTACCTCGGACGACTGGGTCAATCGGTTGAAGGAGCAGGGATGCATAGCAGGCTTAAAAGACGAACGAGACAAGTAGGACGCACTGAGGCCGAGGTACGTAGTGACGTCTCTTGCTGGGTTTGATTTGATAAGGAATGGTCGGTCGGTTTGTTAGTCTTAATCCAGCGACTGGCCTTGCTCCGAGCGATATCCGAAGTATGGTTCGCTCGCTAGTTATATGCTTAACACATGCATCTGAGGTCAGAGGTGCCGCTAAGGTGAACGCTCAGCTTCAACTCTGACTTTCTATTTGAAGTGCACTGAAGGTTAACTATGTCAATCTACAACTCAATGTGATTGGCTTCGTCCGGGCTCAGTCTCTTCCGGCCGCCTCATCCTAATGACTCCACTCGCTATGTTTTGCTGCCAAACGGACTCTCTCGGAGGTTTTCCCGTGGATGTAATGCTTAGCAACCCGAAAAAAAAGCCCCTACCCGAGAGGCAAGCTTGGCGGCGCGAGTGATGCGGTAACAAGCCGAATCCAAAGTACCTCAACACAAATATAAATATATAAGAAGTGCCTATCCGCTCATCAAGAAAAGAAAGGCATCGATACATCGAGGACCAGGGCGGTGAAGTGGGGAAGGAAAGTGGACAGTAAGCTAGTAATTGAGTTCAGAAAAAGCGGTAGAAGGGCGTGAAGGTGTACTTTCTTTCTTTCTTTTGTTGTTGTTGGGTATTGTATTAGTGGCAAGCCGACTGATAGGGTCACGAAGAGCCCAACGAATGGAGGACCAGAACTGCTTTTCTTAACACACATATAGTTCAGTTCCCTCAATTCATCACCAACATGCTTGATTCCAATCTCGAGGGCCTTTACTTAATTGGCCCCGCTCCTCGAGAATGAAGCTTGCTGGCGATACCGGTATCCATCTATAGCCATTAGTTCATCGGTGTCGGGGGAGTTTGGCCCCAGCCTCTTGTCGTCCCCCTTTCCCCTTGATTCGGAAGAAGGGGCGGGCTCCTATTAGAGGGTCTAGGGAAATCTACCTCTTTTCCTTCTTTTCGTTTTCGCTCCTTTTTCTTTTTCGTTCCTTAGGTCTGTCTCCTTCGGCGGATCTTGGGACTCCTTTTGCTGGCTTCGGGCTTTGATCTTTCTCTTATCTGGTGTGGCGTCCTGCTTCATCTTTAGGTGTCCTTATTGGTCTCTATCCGTTTGGGCTCTTCGTGCGTAGCTCCGTAACTTTCCCTCTCCCCAGCGGTAGACGGAGCTCGCACAACCCAAAAAAGAAAAACAAACAAAGCGTGGTTCATGGTAGGCTCTGATAATGGTTAGGGTAGGGGTTTAGTAAAGGATCTCCAGCATGGAACGATGCTCCTTCTCATGCCCATTTGCCAACATCCAGAAAACCCACCTTCTCACGCTAATGAAAGCCCTTCTTACAGAACAACTAGTGCGAGAGCCTTTCCTTCCCTTCCCCAGCGTTCACAAAAGGAAACTTTCTTTTTTCTAACTCTCCAGAAGAGACCAAGTCGTTTACTTCATATTTCTGACTCTTGCCAACAATTGGTTCTTTAACTGAAAAACTTGACTCGAACCGCTTGCCATATCTAAACTAGCTACTGGCAAAGAGGGAATTGATTCAAGATCCCCTTGCGCCCTACAACCCGAAAGTTACTCTCTATCAAAGCACCTGCGGTGGGCTAAGCGCAAGGAGTATTAGAGTCTCGATACTGGCTAACGGAAAAAGAACGGGGAACAAGTAGTTGTTCTACAACCCCCAGAACTGTACGCAACGCTTTTCAAAACAAAAACAAGAAGTTCTTTCTTTTTTCTAAGTCGCCTATAAAAGAGGAAAACAGTTTTATGTCTACGAGCGATATCTATTATTGGTAGGCTGCCTTCACGAACGTCTAGTAACTCACTAGCCCTAAACCGTAACTGAAAGACTCTCTTCTCCAACCAAAGCCGCCATCTAGATTCAGAAGCGGAAGCGGACAGAGTTTACTGAAGAGGCTTTCATCTACGGCCTCCCTAATTTAATTTATGCTATATTCCTTTCATTAGGGAAGTTGCCTAGCTCAGCTGGGGGAAGCTCCTAATGGAAATAGAGTACTCTCATTCAAGCAGGGTGACATATTACCGTTGACCTCAGACCTCACACCATATTTCCTCTTCCCGATCCCCCGAAAAAGGGAAGGAAGATGCTCCTGTAGGTAGGAGCTACTTCACTTTCTTCGGCTAATGATACCTTCGAACTGATATCCAAAGATTCCCTTTATTTAACAGGATGGTTTGAAATGATGGTTTATTACAGGTTCTGGTGTTGGGCGAGAATAGGATGAGCCTACGAATGAGCCGGATCATGGATAACGTAGTGGTTCGAGCCGGTCGAGAGTACGAGATTACTGACCGAACACTCTTCCATTGAGATGGGCCGAAGCCCTGCTAGCGAAGGAATGCATCCAACAGTCTTCTATCTCATCGGTCCTCTCATGCCAGAATTTGCTCATAAATCTACTTTGTTCTCCCGGATATAATACATTACTTTTTTTACTTCGATCTGATACCTCTCGATTCAGAGAGGAAATGCGCATTTGTCTCATTTTTAGTCTCCCCATCTCGATCTCTACTAATTGGATATGGGACTGGTTGTGAAGGGAAGCTTTGTGGGAGAAAGGAGGAAAAGGTCAGGCTAGTAAAGGCTTTACTCAAACATATGGGATAGATTACGAGGAAGCCTTTGCCCCGGTAGCCAAGATTTTGTTCGTCTCCTGCTCTCTATTGCTGCGAATCGAGATTGGCTTCTGTTCCAATTAGATGTGAAAAATGCCTTCCTGAACGGGGACCTACAGGAAGAAGTTTACATGAGTCCTCCACCCGGTTGTGTAAGGGGGGGGTGGGGGAGAACAAGAGAGGTCAACTGGAGTGGACCTGACAAGCATAAGATTCATTCAATAGCCAAGCAGGAGAGTATGCACCACTCCGAAGTACTAATAACTCAGTTGAAAAGAGAGCGGGGCAGGCCATAGACGAAAGTGAACTATAGACTACTTACCAAAGACCATAGGCAATGGACGAAAGACCAGCAGAAGGGCATTAGTCGCCGAGGAAGCTAGTGCGCGTAGATCAAAGCTTAGTTAGTGGAGAGACCATACATAGGAAAGTTACAAGGAGAGGTTATCAACAGGGGTCGATGGCAAGCTTTTTAGCGTAGCTGGCTAGCGGAACAGAACATGGGTTAATGGGCTCTTAAGGCTTGGGATTTGATCCACTCGATAGGGAACGAGCAGATGGCTCCTCTTCCGCTAAAACCGGATAAGCAGCTAAGACCTCTTACTATTCGCTCCATACCCTGGCTAGATAGCATGAATGACTCTTCCCCTTGGGTTCCTTCTTCTTTGCATCTTCTCGTTCCAGTTTAGGAAGAGACAGAGTCAAAGAAATCAACAACCGCGACATACTTATACAGATAGCTATCGATGGGGCTATCAATCTTCCTTGCAAGTAAATACGCTTTGCCCCTTTAAGACCCAATGGATGAGACTTTCGTTCTGAG